CTAAACCCCTAACCCTAAACTCTTCTCTGGCCAGAGTGTTAGGTGCCCGGACAGAAGGTCAGTTACATCGCGACCCGGCTGCAGGAAAGCGGGTCCATTGGCCCGAATGCTTACAATCGGTTTAGAGTTTAGAGTACTAACCCACAACCGTTGCTACAGTGCTAAACCAAGGAACTTTACCCTAAGGGTCCATGTCCCCAANNATAGTATGTACTTTGGCCTTAAAGTATTCCCCTTTTTAGGTACTTTGGGGCCAAAGTACATACTTTTTGGGTACACGGACCTGTGGGGTTATCCACTCGTAGATCCTTCAGCTATAACACCCTAAATTGCCTGGACCATGGAGATTACCCGGAGGTCAGCTCTCTTGATTGCATGCTTGGCACCACCCTAAACCCCAAAGCCGAAACCCTAAACCCTAAACCCCTAAACCCTAAACCCTAAGCCCCTAAACCCTATACCCTGCACCTGAAACAACAACGAACTTCATGCCTCGGTGGTGTTGGCAAGAATTCTCAATTAGGGTTTAGGAATTCGGGGTTTCGGGATTAGGGTTTAGGATTCAGGGTTGTAGGTTTATTTGCGGTTGAGAGCGTGGTGCTCTCGGTTTGATTTTTCGGGTTCAGTTTTCGCTCGAAAATCGCGCCAGGTTGCTGTTGAGAATTTAGGGTTTGGGGGTTTGGGGGTTTAGGGTTTACCTGTAGTCTCCATTGTAGTTCCTTTTTGGGGTTACCTTTTAGGATCCTTAATATAGACTTGGTTAAACCAGAAAAGGGAACTCCAATGGAGACTATAGGTAGGGTTCAGTGCGGGGAGCAGTTTTTGCTTCATGGGCCCCAGTGGCAAATCTTCGCGACAGAGTTGGGTTGGACCCTAAACCTTATAAATTGTAAACCCTAAACCCTGAACCCTAACCCTGTCATCCCAAGTCACCCTAGACCCCATATACCCTCCACCCACTGCTAGAGCCCCGAAGCCTACAATCAGGTTCGAAACAAGGCGTTGGCGGCTCTGAAAGAGCACGG